GGAAAGTGCAAAGAAGAAAACAGTAATCATATTCTCACCATCCAGAATTAACCACTACGAACATTTGGTATATTTGCTTCAGTTTTTTTCTTTCTGCTGATTTTTAAAATATAATTAACACCAGGGGCTGGGCTGGTGGCGTAGTGGTTAAGTTCGCCCTCTCTGCTTTGGCAACCCAGGGTTCGTGGGTTCGGATCCCAGGCATGGACCTACGCACCACTCATCAACTCATGTTGTGGTGGCATCCCACATACAAATAGAGGAAGACTGGCACAGATGTTAGCTCAGGGCCAATCTTCCTCACCAAAAAAAAAAAAAAATCTAGATAATTAACACCAAAACATTGATTTTGCTTATCTTTTAGGTATGAAACTGTGGGCTGTTTTGGGTTTTTTTCCTCCTTCTTTTCTCTCTCTCTCTTCTCTGTCTCTTTTGTACTTTATAAAGTACAAGTTTTCTCTGATTAGCATGTTTTACTTTTTAAAGGGATAAACTGTAAGTAACTGTAAAAGGTAAAATATTTTAAAATGCCAAATAAATTCTGAGACTTTTAGAAGAATGTAAGCAAGATTTTGGACTTGAGAACAGCTTTGATTAAGCTGGGAGAAGGGAAAGCATTCCATATGGGTGGGGTGGCCGTATGTCCTAGTTGCCGTGGTCAGTCCAAGTTTTATGCCTATTGTCCTGATGACATTATTAATGACATTTTTGCACTCAAAAATGTCCCAGTTGGGGACAGGAAGTTATAAGGAGTCTGGATTTTGGGGGTTAATGAACAGCCACTTGGCTGAATCAGGGTAGTTATATTGGGTGAAAGGGAAAGAAGACTGGAAGGAAGGTTGAGACCATATTATAGAGGCACTGACTGCTGATTTAAGAAGTTCCTCAACCAATCCTAGGGCTGGGTACAAGATAAGCCTAGAGCATCTCCTAGTCCAGAAAGTAAGGAAGTACCAAACAAAACACACACACACACACACACAGATGTGGGTGTGTCAGAAGGACACAGTTACCATAGAAATTTTTCCAGTTCAGCCCTCTCAGTTCGTGGATGAGAAAGCTGATCTGGAGAGGTTCAGTGGCTGGCCCAGATCTCCCAGCTGAAAGAGCTCCCAGTGGCCAACGCTGGAACAGTTTGAGCAACAAAATAAAGTAGTGTTGACCAAAGTATAAAATAAATACCTATGAGTCCATAGTGATATAAATGATTGAATGAATAAATAAATGGGGGAGAATAGGAATATCCCATGTAGAATTCCAAGAATTCCAAAGAATTCTAAGTAATTTATGCAAATACTCTGCCCTCGAAGAGGTAGAGTGTAACTCCTGGCTCCTGAAGTGTGGGCCGTGCATAGTGGCTTCCTCCCAAAGAGGGGTGTGGGGGGGGGCAGGGAGTCACTGTATAGTGAAGACACCTGAGAAACACTGCTGCAGCCAGGTGACCAAGGTGGATATCAACAGTAATAAGTCATGTTGATAGCTCGGACCCTGAATATGATGTGGTGAGAATGGCACTTCACCTTTTCCTCCCCAAAACCCATAACCCCAGTCTAGTCATGAGAAAAATATCAGACAAATCCCAGCTGAGGGAGATTCTGTAAAATACCTGACCAGCACTCGTTAAAACTGTCAAGGTCATCAAAAACAAGGAAAGTCTGAGAAAATATCACAGCCAAGAGGAGTCTAAGGAGACTTAATGACTAAATGTAATGTGGTAACCTGGGTAGGATCCTGGAACTGAAAAAGGACATTAGGTAAAAACTAAAGAAATCTGATTAAAGTGTAGACTTATTTTTATTTATTTATTTGTGTGTGTGTGAGGAAGATCAGCCCTGAGCTAACATCCATGCTAATCCTCCTCTTTTTGCTGAGGAAGACTGGCTCTGAGCTAACATCTATTGCCA